TGTTTTTCCTGCCCCGTCTTCCCTCCCCTCTGTCCTGTCTCACAGGTCAGACCTGAAGCCTCTCCCTGCAGACGCTAGCTTCATCGCCCTTTAGCTTTCACAGGTGTTGTCTGCCTCACCTTCTGCTTCTCAAAAAACAGAAGTGGAAAAAAAAAAAAAAACCAAGTTGACAGAAATAGAATATGACTGGTCAAAGACAAAACAGAGGTTTGGGAGGAAAGAATGGGGATACCCAAAAAACCATGTAACCATTTCCCATGCTTCGGATGGGTGGTGAAGTATTAATACTGCTATTTTGAGACTGCTGTGTTTATTACGTGGGATGAAGTGGCTAGAGGATATTCCATCCTATCAATCTCTATGACCTACCATATTCTCATTATAGAAAGAGACAGACATACTATGTATAAAAAGTTAAATAAAGGGCCAGGAATTTAGCTCAGTGGTTCTGTCCCCTGCCTTGCAAGCACAAGGTCAAGAGTTTGATCCCCGGTACCCCGCCACCAAAAAAGGTTAAGTAAAAATCCTATGATCCTGAATTTTAATCAAAGATGTCACTAGAAAATCATGGGGTATATGTGTGTGACACACATAGACATATATTTGTATTTAACACATATATACATATGTATTTGGGGGGTTTTTGAGTCAGGGCCCCAATATGTAGTTCAGGCTGGCTTGAACTCCCTAGGTAGCCTAGGCTGACCTTGATCTGTCAGTGATCCTCCTGCCCTAGCCTCCCCAATGTTGGAATTACAGGCATGTACCATGAAGCCCAGCTTAACATATATAATTTCTAGATCTTACTATGTACCTCTAAATATACATATTACCTTTTTCTAGTTATTTATTAAAATATATAGAAGCTATCTTTAGATATAAATGCAAGTTTTGTCTACTGAATAGATTTAGACACGACTTACCAGTATTGATGAGCATCTCTAGTGCCCAAGTATGGGCAAAAAAATTCAAAAAATTTTTTCAAAATTCAAAATGTAAGGAAATCAAGGCTTCTTAAAGAAATGGCTGATCTATGAGGCTCCCAATGGTCAAAGATAGGACAATAAAGATAATCACACTCCACTGCAGTGAAATTATCATCAATGGGATAATTTGGGGGGGTACTAGGGATCGAACTCAGGACCTTCTGCTTGTGAGGCAGGTGGCAGCACCACTGAGCTACATCCTGGCCCTATATCTTCAACAGTCACCTTCTGAAGATGACATTCAGTTCATTATCTTAAAAGCTGAGTAAATACAGTGGATTCTTACAGCCGGTGTAACAAACAACTTGGGTTATGACCAGACTTTTAGTTTAACTTATGAACAAAGTCTTGAGTTACGACCCAAATGCTGGCTGCTTGTGCTTCCAGATGGGCTCAGACACAGATTTAACCCTTAAAGAGTTCTGGAAGGAACACTGCAACACTCTTTCCCATGTGAAGTTAACTGAGAAATTCTGGGCCAGTGTCTCTCTAAAGACACTGAGATCTGCCTGGATACAGGAGAGAGACTTTGAAGTCTGTGTAGAGGAGCCTGAGCCTTCATTGACAAACCTGAGTTATAACCAGCCCATGCAAATGAGTTAAGTTCTCAAGTCAAAAGTCCACTGTAAAAGGAAAAATTAAGTGTAACCTTTCACATGTTCACAAAAGCACCATCACAGGACCAGGTTGTTCAACTAATTGTAAGGAAAAGAAAATAGAGCAAACCCTTTGGAGTAAGACTTAAAACGTGCATCACAAAAATTTTAAAGGTCAGTAAGAATGTACACTTGGGTGTTAAAGCAGAAAAGAAACTCAAGAAAATGGTTGAGTGGAGAAGTTGGGAGGGAGGCAGCTGGGACTAGGGTGCAGATGGGGGGATCCTGGAGGACTGGGGAGACTGGCAAAGTTCTATTCTTGACCTGGTTGGTGAGTGTAAGGGTGTTTGCTTTACAAAAATTCACTGAATTCATTCACTTGCTTGTTTACTTACCTATCTCTGAAATCTCAGAGTCTGGAAAGCACAGAATCAGAGCAGGTTCAGAAGCCACGACAGTTGGGGCTGCTTGCTGGGTGGATCAAATGCACCTGATTTACCTAAAGACGCTGGAGAGGCCTGGCTGGTCTCCTCACAGGATGCAGGTGATTTGAGTGTCCTTGAAATACTGAGCTACTTTAGCACACATCATTTCAGAAAGGATTTGAAGCAGATTATAACACAAAACACAAGGGCCGGAGATTTGGTTCAGTGGTTCTGCAGCCTGCCTTGAAAGCACAAGGGCCCGAGGTCGATCCTCAGTATCAAAAAAAAATCATAAAAACACAGTAGAAAGTGAGACTTTCACAGCAAAATCAGCTATTACAAAAAGCAGAGGGCTAGATGGTCCCAGCTGAGCCCTAGCATATAAACCAGTTCACACTCACCTTCTCAGCTGCATCTGCTGCAAATGGTGGAACTCCTTTGCTGTTGCACTGACCCAGGCTACCAACACCCTCACTGAGACACATAAACGCTGGGTGCTGTACATCCCGTTGGTCAGTTGCACATTTGAGACCCATCACCACTTATGGGAAGGTCATCTACCTGATTAGCTCAAACGCTGCTTCTAAAAGCCGAAAGAACATAAAGGAGGTATTCCCATATTACCTGAACAATACGCCATTCTGAGACATCTGGCTCCCTTTTAGGCCCTGTGGTTCTGAGCCACACTTTGACACTGCAATGAGACACATGCTCATCTCAAGCTGCCCAGCTCAGCGGCTGTGCTCAGATCATGGGATTCCATTTCTGTCAATCAGATGAGGAGAGCCACAGCTGCGGTAATGCTCAAGAAAGCCACACACTGGTGACCTGGCTCTGACTTTTGTGCCTACAGCATGTTTATTAGTCCATATCAGCCCATAACCCTGCACCACTCCCTATCCTGGGCAGGACTCTGGACTTCCCCAAGCTCCACCATCTACAGCCCTTTCACAGCTCTAGGCCCTCATGTGTGCTGTCCTCCTAACACCCAATGCCCAGCCCGGCAGTCTCCATTCAGGCAGAACTCGTCATGGTCAGTAGCTCCTGGTGTCCAACTCCCGGCCAGCATTTTCCTCTGCCTTCCTTGAGGATGGGAGTCTGGGTCTCAGCATCCTCTATGGCAGGAACCAGGTGGAGCAACTGGGTAACAACTGACATTTATGGGGCACTTACATAAGCCTGACACATTCTAGGCAACTTAATTCTCACAACAGCCCTAGAGGGCAGGCACTGTTATGGCCCACTGTGTGGAGAAGTGCGCTAACGTTCAGGAAAGTTATGTAGCTCAGCCTAGGTCCCAAAAGCACACAGATATAATTTAAGAAATTCAGCTCTAGGGCTGGGGATTTAGCCCAGTGGTTCCGCTGCCTGCCTGCAAGCACAAGGTTCCAAGTTCGATCCCCAGTACCAAAAGAAAAAGAAAACGAAATTCAGCTCTAACAGTCTATAGTCTTAACCACTACCAATGAACTCATCTATTACTCTAAACACTGGGTACCTATCACGTGTCATATACAATTCTGTGAACAAAGTGGACCAAGTCTCACCTTTCTAAGGCTTGCTTTTAGAATAAACAGTGTAATATTTGCAGGTATTAGAAAGAACAGAACAGAATAAAGGGTTAAAAAGTGACTGATGGAACCAGTCTTTCTGAATGGTTAGGATAGGTCTCTCTGAAAACAGCTGAACAGAGATCTGAATCAGATAAGGGAGTCCTTGTTAATAAAAAAGAACAAGATTGGAAGCTGAAAAATACTTAAGGGCTGCGTGGGGCGTGGTGGCATACACCTTATTCCCAGCACTTGGGAGCCGGGGATTTAGCTCAGGGTTTGCAAGCACAAGGTTTGCAGTTCAATCCCTGGTATATTAAAAAAAAAAAAAGCCAGCATTTGGGAAGCTGAGGCAGCAGGATCCCCATAAGTTCAAGGTCAGGCTGAACTATATAGTGTGACTCTGTTTCACAAAGAAAAACAAACAAACAAAACAATACTTGTGTGGCCTTGGACAAGTAACTGAACTTCTCTGAGCCTCAATTTCCTCACCTACAAACCTAGGGTAATCTACACTCGCCTTATAGAGTTGTGAGAGAAAGGAGAGGTGGTTTTGTAAGAACTCCTACCTTAAAGTAAGCCTGGGCCTAGGCCTAGGCCTCCAATATGCACACATATAGCTGAGTCTCTCACTGCCTTCTTTCCTGGCCAGGAATCCTCTCCTCCTCCCTCCTCCCATCCCCCTTCACCTTTCCTCCCTACCTCCAAAAAAGCCTTCAGGTGGCTGGGTGCAGTGGCCTGCTCACACCCCCTGCTGGCAGAATGCTGAACTGCAAGTGTGATGCCTCCCTTTCTTCATCCCTTCCGAAAGCTTTTCAGCAGACACTCACCACCCAAAAACCAGAGAGACAGAGAGAAGAGAGGTTCTCTCGGCCTTACAGAAACTCATGGTCTCGGGGGCAGACCCAGAATGAAGTAGGCAGAGAGGAGGTGCCAGCATCCAAGAAATTACAGGCTTATAATGAGGAGTCCAGGGAGGACTTGGGAAGACTTCATAAAGCTCTCTCACTTGCCATTAGCAAACCATTCTCCCAAGAAAAGGCTTCTTCTCCTTGAGGGCAGAGAGGGTCCTCTGTGTCCTGTGTTCCCACATGATGTCCCCCTTACTCTGTAAAGAAATGGCCCATCCTGTCTCAGCCAAGTGACAATCTTTGCAACCCTGGTCTGGTCTTTTCCCCGTTTCTCAGTCTCCTCCATGGAGTAGAAAAATAACCCTTAATATACGTCCCTCTCAATTAGCCATTTACGAGCTGTGCCAGGGAAAGCACGAGGGGACCCTACACATGCAGTGGCATCACAGGCAGTCCACTGCCCTCAGCCGTCAGTGGACAGAGGACATCGATGCATAGTGCAGTCCGCTCAGGCAGACCAAGCTGCACCCTCCACCACCAACTAATCACAAAGCCCCCACAGAAGTCAGTGAATCGTACAGTATAGTTGTGTTTCAGGTGTTTTATTAAGTGGGCCATACTGTAGCTGGTTTCTAAGTTGCAAAACAACATAAATTTAACAGGAATAACATAGCCAGTTAGATTGTGACAAGCTTCTCCTTCCCTTAAAAATAAAAAACAAAAAAACGAAATACTTAAAACACACAATGGAGGGTTAAATAAATAAAGTGTAAGAGAAAAGAAAAGAAAATCTGTTAAAATAAGCTTATGTTTACTTCTGTGCAACTGTGTGACAAGAGGAAACGTGCCTTTCTGCATGGTGACAGCACTGTGACACGTCCCAACATGTCGCCTTCCAAAGTAATACTGACCAAAACAACAAGACAAAACACCCAAAAAACATGACACGGGGCTGACTCCTCAGTGCGTGCTTAGAGGCACCACTAAAAATCCCTTGAGTGGAGCATGGGGCTTCCTGCTCAGCACACCTGTGTGTGGCCCATGAAAGCCAAATATCCGTAATAATGTTAATATAGAAAACATGAGTCTAAAAACGATGTGGAATGGCCTCATCAACACGACGGGGCCAGGAAACGGAAGAGCCCCGCGCAGTCTCAGTCCAGGAGGCTGCAGGCTCCCGGTGCGTGGCCATGCAGGGAGGGCACCAGCTTCAAAATAAGCGGCACCAACCTCGCTTCCTCTCCCTATCACTCTTTCACATGAAAGTGTGTAAAAAGCAAATCGGCAAATAAACTCTAAAATAGATTATTTTTTTCCAAAAATCCTCTAGTTTTCTTTTTACAATGAGTGTACATCTCCTCCTCTCCATTCCCTGCACAACTCGCTTGGGTCCCTTTGGGAAGAAGAGCAGAGCTGCAGAGAGTCTTTCCTGGTCTTGCTGCTGGCTGGTGCTGAGAGGTCAGATGTCGATGCCCTTGACGAGGGAAGTCTCTAGTGTGATGTTGAACTCCTGCAATGTCTGCAGTACACGGATCAAGGAATTGACAAGTGTGTGGTCTTTGATGAGCGCCACATCCTCATACATGTGTGCGGTGATGGGGCAGTCGGCCAGCAGGGCGATCCAATGGTGCAACAGGTGATCTCTGACGGGGCACGCACGGTCCAGGCCAGTCAGAGAGGCAAAGGAAAAGGAAGAGAGTCGATGCAAGGTCAGGGGGAAGACTTGAAGTAAGTCTGAAGCTGGAGAAGCTGGCAGCTCCCAGTCCCCCTCCGTCACAGCTCGTGCCCCTGGGAGCTACCCAGGCCTGGGACACCAACCCACCCTCACCCAGGCTGCAGTGCACACCACTCCCTCATCTGCCACCAGCCTCTCCTCCCACCACTCACTCACACAGCACTTCACACACGCCAGCAGTTATGAGATTTAGGCTAGGAGGGAGGAGTCATCATTATCCCTACTTCATAGATGGAGAAACTGAGGTACAGAGATTACACAGCACGTCAAAGGTCACATACTATTAACTGCCCAACCCAAGGTGTGAACTGGCAAATCTGGCTCTCGAGTCTGTGCATTTGTTAGTTTTGATCAGGGTCTTGTTATGTTGCCTAGGCTGGCCTCCAACTCCTGGGCTCAAGCCATCCTGCCTTAGCCTTCTGAATGGAGCCTAGATGAGTCTATTTTTAACCTTATGCCACCTTTCTCCTTTATATGTCCTGAATAAACTACCGCCTCAAGTTGATCTGGGCTTCATGCTCTCACCTGACATAGTGGAATAGCCCCTCACAATCCTTCCCACTCCACAGCACGCCACCTATACCAAATTCGTATCATTTCAGTCCCAATATGGGTGAGATCTTTCTGTCCCAGGTCCTTAGGACCCCCAACTTTCAACTGTGTTTCCTATCACTGCCCTCCCCACATTCTAACTTACTTTTTTCCACTAAGGGCTCATCTCCAAACATCATCTCCTCTCTGAAGCCCTCTCTGATCTTTCTCCTCTACATTTTAAGCATATCTTACGAGTAGTAACTTCTTTGGGGGATTCTCACAATCTTCTGCTTTTTAAAGTTAGAACAAATAGGGCCAGGGTTTAGCCCAGTGATTCCACCGCCTGCCTCTCAAGCTTAAGGGCCCAAGTTCAAGCCCTGGTACCAAAAATAAAATAAAATTAGAGCGAATAAACTTCTAAATGGCAGGTACCATGTTTTATTCAGTCCTTTTCCTACCACTCTGCGTAAGGCCTGGTACATTAAAATGTTTACTGAAGGAATAAATACATATATATTCTGAGGCCAGGGATTTAGCTCAATGGTTTTGCCGCCTACCTCATATATATTCTGCTTCCAGTTTCCCCAGCTTGAGATGATTATGAACCTGCCTAAGAAAACATGGCCCACCTCTGCCAGTTACACACACTCTCCCCTAACAGACTCCCACACATACAAAGGACACAACGGGAATTAACGGCCTATAGGAAGCCCTTCAAGGCTTCCCCTGCCCAGGGCTCCCTGAACACTATCCACTGTCACCCACCATGACGTTAAACTCTGGCACCACCTCCGAGCCTGCCTGCCATGTACCCTAGGCTCTGGGGCTGCAGTACCTGGCTCCCAAGCACACCAGCATCTGAAACTTGCCGTCCTTGCCAATGTTCCGAGGAGTGTTATTGATTGCAGTGACAAATCGGCAGAAGTTCCGGGCTCTTGTATGCCAGTTTTCCTCAGGGACTACTTCATTCTGCTCCAATGTCTCATAATAGGTTTGTGCTTTTTCTGTGAAGAACAGAAAAGCCTGCCAGTGACAAAGGCTCATAACAGCCACCTGTGTGTCCTACAAGCCTCTTCAAGTCCATGCAGACAACTTCCTAAGAATTACATGAGTGCTCAGAAATCAATGATCATATTTCAAAATGACCCTTATTTTTAGAATTTACTTATGTGGGCCTTAATATAAAGATGGTCTTTTCCCTCGTCTTGAAGATACAAGCAAGCCCTGGGGATAACATGTTCCATGAAAATTCTGAGTGGACACCATACACATAACTTGGGCTCCACTACTCTCAACTGGCCTTTTGGATCTACAAAGAAAAGTGTGAGACTCAGGATTAAGCCAACACTAGGTAAGACTAGAAAAAAATCTTCTCCTTGGGCAGAGGATTTAGCTCAGTGGTTCCACTGCCTGCCTCGCAAGCACAAGGACCCAAGCTTGATCCCCGGTACCAAAAAAAAAAAAATCACCCAGTTCTCAGGAGGTAAAGGTTCACTGAAGAGGGGGTCAAGGGGTCCTGTCATTCCCAGCAAGGAAAACCAAAACAAACAAAATCTAAGGTTATGCACCCAGTCCCCAGTGGTCAGCATCCATGTCATGTTGGTGACAACCTACACACACACACCCTAGTCCAACTCACCCAGGAAATCCCAAATGAAAACATTTTTGAAGAGCCGGGGTGATTTAAATCCATGCTGGAAAGCCTGTTCCAGGGCTGAGACAAGCCCACACTCTCCACAAAGCAACAGCGTCAGACTGCCTCGCTAGGTAAGGAAACAGGGGTAAGTAATAGGCTGGTCTCAGATGAGCTGCCTCCCATCACCACATCCCCAAATCCACGGCCCAGAGTTGGCAGAGGCAAAAGACTGCAAGGATCATCCCTGTTCCTCCAGCACTCAGCACAGTGTACTCAGGCCTAAAGCAGCTCTCAGTAAACAGCTGCAAGGGAATGGTAAAGGAACAGATGACGGATCTGGGTGGCACACAAGGACACCCCACCAGGGCAGTATGGCCACTGTATGCACAGACCTGGGCAAGTCTAGAGGCAGACAGGAATCAGCACTGTTTACCAGGTAACTCCACAGACCCCACTGTGTCAAATGTGTGCAAGAAAACAGAGCAACCAGAGGCAAAAGGCCCCAAAGGAAGGGGTCAGCTCCACCCCCAACTAGCTGAGGCACACATTCTACCAGACTCTGGGTGTCCAGAGTGCACAGACCTAGAGAGCCTGGAAAGAAAAGTGCAAAATCAAGATGACTTCCTTTACTCAACCTAAGGCCTGGGTTGGAGGGCAGGAAGGCTCACCTCTTTCTCAGGCTTATGGAAGTGCTTCACAATGCCATTGACTGCCTCCCCAATGGACTCCTGGATCTGCCCAGTGTTCAGCTCTAGTAAAAATCAAGCAGACATCCTCACCAATCTTGAAGTGCTTATCTGACTAAGTAGGAAATGACACAGGGTAGAAGGCCCAGGGGACACACAGGGCAGCTAGACCCCAGGAAACAGACACTTTTGCCCACCCAACTTTGTTGAATTAGCCCTTTCCAAAATGTTGGAGGGAAAGCCAAAGCTAAAACTCAGAGTTCTAAGAAATGCTGGTAAAATTTATTTTCCATTTTACCCCAGAATTTTGACAAGTAATAGATGGCCAAGACTTGACTGCGAAGCCTATGAATCAGGATGGAAGGCCAGAAAGTGGACCTCTCCTTTCATAGGATTATGCAAGAATATTAAGAGCACCCAGTCTGGTCTCCATGAGCTTTCCCCTCTCCTTCCAAGCTTCTGAGGAGCACGCTGCATACCATCACTGATCCCTCGGAGGAGGGTGCCAAATCTCTCAGGCGGGTTTGTCAGCAAAGGTGGTTCCTTAGGCAGGTGTACAGGCTGGGATGAAGGCTCCCAGAGGTCTGCGCATCCCCAGGCTGGGTGGCGTGATGGCCCCTCCCCCCACTTACTGGGCTTGTTGTTGGGTGAGATAGTAACAAGCCTCCGGATGACGCTGGGGGACTGCTGCAGTGGCGGGGTCCGGCATGGCCTCTCATCCACCTCAGGCAGGGATATGAGCAGCTCCCCAACTAGGACCCGCTCCAGGCTTCCATCATCCATGCCCTTCCCCAACCACCGGCCACACGGGAACCTAAAGGTAGGCAAAGGCCCATCAGAGCTTCCAGTTCCTCCAATGTCTTTTCCCCTTTGCTGCTCCACAACAGCCATTAACAAAGCTAATCCTCAAGGACAGACTATGAAACCAAGCTGGGACTCCTTTGAAGCCCTGTTCATCCCACCACGTACCATGAGAGAAGCCACTTAAATGGCATGAGTGGCCTGAGACCTAAGCACAGCAATACTGTCCATCTTTACTTTGAAATTCTCCTTTTGTTTCTTTTCTAGTGCATGAAGACAGCCAACAGGAAGTTGCCTCACCCTATCATAATATCAAAGAGGATCCTTGCGAATGCATATCCTCAAGCCTCAAAGATAGCCCCTGGTGGTACATCTTGCTCCACCACTGCAGGGCAAGTGGAGGGAACACTTACTTATAGGTATGTCCTGTGATGTCATTCCTGACCATCACATACTCCACTAGCCATTTGGCATACAGCCCAGAGTTATCGTGGCCAATCTGGACCGTGGTAAGCTTCCCCAAGTTCTGGCACTGTGAGAGAACACAAAAGGCACAGCAGGTCAGGAAAATAGGAAAGAGTGGCAATCTTCAGAGGCATAAATCTGACTGGCTGCCTGCCACCTGGACCCTCAGCATCTGCAGGAGGAGAGCTCAGAGCTCCACCACCGCCAGGCCTGGCAGTACAACAATATCTCCCAAGCACTGTATGGCTGAGAAAGATCTGCTACTTACAAGAATATGGCCTGAGCACAGGAGGCTCTGGATATGGGTCCTGAGGTCTCGGGAAACATCTGGGCTCAACAGCTGAAAGAACTCTGGGATTTCTCAATACACCAAGCACAGGGAGGTATGCAAGCCCAGACAAATAAATGCCTTCCAACCAGAGAACGGGTGGGAAAGGCAGGCTCCTCTTCCTTGAGGTCAACTATTGGCTCCAGCCTCAGATCATCTCAGGACAAGTCAGCACTTTGACACATAACACTACACAGAGCAAGACCTCTATAAATCCCTATAGAAAACTCCCCAAAGCAGTTGTAGCAACTCAGATCCGCACAGAACTGGAGTTGTGGACTCCAGATAATACCCACCTCGAAAGTCATCTCTAGCACGTTCCTGGGAATCTGCAGGATATGTGTCTCACCCAGCTCGCCCGCGATACAGATCCATGGGTTGGCAGTGAACATGGAGCCCCCCAGCTTCTTGCTTGGTACGATGAGAATGTGGTATGGAATCACTGTTTGACAAAAGCCACAAAAGGCATTGTGGGAGGTGAGGAACTCCTCCCACACCTAAGGGGCTCCTGGCCTGCCCAGCAAACTGGCACGGCTGAGCTCCAGCAGGCCCAGCCCTGGATGGTGTAGAATGCTAGCCAATCCCCTCTCTAACCTTACTCCTCCAAGGGTCAACACCCAAACACATCAAAAACTCAAGCCCATCTGTTGGTTAGAACTAAGTGAACCTTTTTAAAACAGGATTATCAACTCCTGACAATGTAATTCAGAGCACTTTTCAACCTCTCATCTCATGCACCTTAATAATCTTAGGACAGACCACACAAACATTGCATCCCTTTTTCACAGCACAGAAAGGGAAACACTATGCCCAGCTATTTTAAATTCCAGTTCGATGCTACTTCTGCTAAGCCACAGCCCTGTTCTCTGGGTGGGAAGATGGGTGTCTGATAATAACAAGAGCATGCAGTTAAGGCACCAGAATGGCTGGCTAAAGAACTAGCCAATGGGCAATTTGAGACTACCCCACCCACTAAAGAATCCTGGCATTAGAGAGCAAGGAGGCTCAGAGAGCCGGGGGCCATACTGAACTCTCTTTCTCTCTGCCAATAGGGAGACTGAGGTCCACAGCAGGGGTGGACTCTGCTCATAGATACATCATGAGTCAGGGACAGAGCCAGTCTGGATTCAAACCTGCTGCTGCCTGGAGTTTTTTCTGCTACTTCAGGAAGAGATCTTTCTCCCTCAGGCCTGCTCCAAAATCTGTGCCAAGTGAACTCTCAGGCCAAAAGAGAGACTCTTAAAAAAAAAAAAAAAAAAAAAAAAAAAAAAAAAAAAAGAAAAGAAAAGAAAAAAGAATGTAATGTGCCTTTTTTTCCTAGTGCTGGGCAGTTATAGCAAAACTTCAGGAGCTGGTCCCATCTATCTGAGACTGAATTCTATCCCCATTATACCACTAATGAGGTTTGTGCCTTCCTTGCTTTCTCGCCTCTATGGTTAAAATTCTGTGGTGACCTTTAAGTTGAATTACTCCTTCTTTTATCCAGACACTGAATTAACCAGAGCTTTCTCCCAAGCTAAATCACCTGTATACAAAATTGCTCGATAGAACCAAGTG